CCGGCTTTTATTTCGCATTTCACGCACTGGAGTAGGGGCAGGCTTGGCCCGAGCCGCCATTGCCCGGCTTTCACAAGCCCTCGGCGGTGCCCGGTCTTAGCCTTTGCCTGGCCTCCATCGCCACCCGCCACCTGCAGCGGAGCTGGTTGTCCACTCTGTGGAGGTCGGCCACCGTCACCAGCTCCCGGCGGGCGCTCCACGACCAGGAGTAGATGCAGAAAGTGTGGTGGAATCACTCGCTGCTCACCTGCGTGCTGATCGAGCCCCTGCTGATCCTCTGCCACTGACACTGGGCCTGGCTGAGCCTGTGCTGCTTCACTGCCTGTTTCTGCTGGGAGGACAGAGAGGACCATAAGGGTGGGAAGTCACACAGCTTTGCATGGGGAGCCTATGCCACATACAAGACAAAAAGCACTTCAGCAACACGTTACAATGTGGTGCTGGCTGCTTATAACCAATTCATGATTAACAGTTATAAACCACTAAGGTATTATTATACCTCTGGTTTAATTTTTCCTTGTGCTTATGGCAAAATTGCTCTTTAATAGCTGTGTCTAGTTGAAGCATTCACCAGGCAGTTAATGTACAGGTTGCATGAGCGAACAGTCACACTTAGTTCTGCTTTAATTGCTGTCCAGTAAAACATCTTCGCTCTACATCTCTTACTCACCTGTGCTTGTGTCTTGCCTGGGCTGTCTGTTGGCAGATGATGTGGTGTGTTCGAGTGCTCGGCGTTGATATCAGGGAAGTATCCCTGCTTTCTGAGAGTAGCTGCCTGATTAAAGAGAGCCCCGTATTTTCAGGCTTGTCCCCACACCTCCTTCCATACTGTTAGACAGCTGAAGCATTGCTTGTCTCTCACCTCCTGCACCCGGTGTCTCTCACAGAAGTGGCTCTTAAACAAAGTGGTTGGCTCATTCATTCTCCCCCTCACTCCATTCTGCAAGTCCCTTTTTGGTTTTGGCAGTGTTGTCACGTCTTGTTTAGAAATCCGTGCGAGGACAGGTACCTGGGCACAGGGTCTGCCTGAATGGGCCAAAGGGAATTAGGAACCGGAGCTGCTGACTGTGTGACCAGCAGCTCACTGCCTCCTGCCTCTCAGTTTGCCTCCTCTCGCCGGGGAAAGACTCGGTCAGTCCTGAATTCCTCACTGAGCCATGAGTCGTGGGAGCTGCCATCCGGCATGCACAGTGTTAGCCAGAGTAGAGCCACAAAAGCCCCAGTCAGTGGCTGCCTTGTTGAGTGCTTAATCAGCAGCAATCCATGGCACAGAGGTGCCTGGAGGTGTTGGGTCACCCAGAATGTGCTCACCGCTAGGCACTTTTTAAGCATTCAAGCAGCCACCTTGCACAAAAACCTCTGGAGTGGGACTCCTTCACCCCTGGAGCAGAACTCACTACAACTTTGCTTTGGCTTCTTGCCCGGGGAGAGTTTTGGGCTGGGTGGACTCCTAAGGTCTGCTCCAGCTCTGTTTGCTGTGATCCTCTTTGAATTACCTTGGGAAAGGGTTGTTAACACAGGGCTGACCCTAAGGAAGCATGAATCATCCTTGTAGGTCCAGTGATGTCCCTTTTAGACAGAGTGGGAGTGATGGCATGCAAGCCTTACCTCTGAGGCTCTCCATGTCAGCTGCTGTCTCCCTTCTGTTCACAGCTGAGATGTGGGCAGTGCTTACAAAGGAAAGCTCAGGGGTCTCTTTCTGAATTTTGTAGGGCTTCTTCCTGTGACACTTGCAGAATTCATAATCCATAGAGTCTCTCTGGCTGGTGCTGTCCCTCAGCTTCTGCTGGTAGTAACTAGAAGACAAAAGAGGGCGTCATTGTCCCATCAAACAGCCCAGGGCCCAGTGCACACTGGCTGCTGCACCCCTGCATGTCTGGAAAGACCGGGTGTGTGAGGATATTTAAACCGCAAAGCTGCGTGATAGACACGTGGTGGCATTTACAACAGTGTCCTTGCAGAGCAGGTGCCTGAGCTATGCAAGTGCTTTTGGATGCCCAGCCAGATGTGAAGTGTTTCTGGGAATCTAGTCTTGGGACCACCGTGTTCTGTATATTTTGTTATATGAGGCACAAATATCCTGGTAAAACGGGGACTTCCCTTCTCTATCCCGCAGAGCTAAGGCAGCTCACCTGATAACCTGAAGCAGAGTTCTCCGGGGCAAAGCTACCAACTCCACCAGCTTCAAGAAGTCTTCGAAGCAGAGGATTCTTTCGATATCAACAGGATCTAAACTGTCTGAGTCATCTTTCCCAGAGGCTGAGAGGAGGAGAGTGGTCAGAGCCGTGGCTGAGCCTTGTCTTACCTTCACAGAGCTCAAAGTGAGCAGAGACCCCAGCAGCTCCCAGGAAGATCTGGACAAGTTATGCCATGGGCATGCATGCCTATTTTCTTCTGAGTGCTTGTGTGGTACCTAGCAGGAAGGACAATTCCCTGCAGCTTATCATTAGCCAAAGAAGGTCAGGTCTGTCCCATGTTGTAACAGAAGAGTTTGGCCTCTGCTCTTGTAACCAGGAAAATCTGAAGTGAGTGCAGGGTTCCTGCTCCTGTCCCTGAGACCGGCAAGCACAACGATGGTCCTACCCCACTGCTTTTCTCTGCCTCTTGGCCCCGAGCTGGCCCACAATGGCCCACTGAGCTATTGCTGCCTTGTCTGAGTGGAGCAGCCTTCATTTCTTTGAGTCTCGGATGCTGATTTCTTGCCCAGTAGCCATTAGTCTGAGAACTGGGTAAATTCAGATATCTCTGGACAAGCAAGGCTTTTGCTGGAGTAGAACATCTCTTACTTACACGTGTGGGCGAAACACTTCTTGCCAGTGGTAGTGTCCGGAAAGTCAGAGAATTCCACCTCTCCTGCAGGCAAGTGACATCTCCGTTAGCACGGCAGGTTTTTTTGCTGTAATGAAATGCTGGGGCGAGCAGCTCAGAGCTGGCACTGCAGAAAGATTTGCTACTAAAAATCTAAGGGTAGGAGGAAAGCTGTTAAAGCTTTCACATGTAACTGGGCTGTGGATCCTGGCATTTCAGCATACATTAAAGAGGTCAAAAAAGCGTGAAGTATGGCCTCTGGCTCAGGAAACATTTCAGTGCAGTATTGCCCCAGGCACATTGGAGTAGGATCGCTTTGCCCACCCAGAAATTGGGTCAGAACAACCCACAGGGGAGTAACGCGTGGTCTGGGGTGCTCACTGCTGTCATCTGCATGCGCCAGCTCATCCTATGCCTCTTGACTGGTTAAGCCAGTCCCCAGCTGCTTGGTGGCCACCTCCAGGCTGTGAACTTTAATGTTTCTGGTTGGGTGTTTGGGGGATGAGTGGAAAGCATCAGAGGCTGCTGCAGGCTGGGAGAGGACAGCAAGTTAAAGAGGCTGGAGGGAGGCACTACCTGTACTATGCTCATTTGGAAACAATGAGCTGTGACCACTGGAAATTTGGGACTGGGGGAGGGTTGTTCCTTACGGCTGGTGGCAAAGCACCCAGCCCTAAACAGCTACCAAGGGTGCAGGGGAGTTGGGGAGCCTGGGCAGAGGAAGGGTGACCCTGTATTTAACATGAGGTGGTTGGTTTAGTTCTTGCTTTGTGTACTGCTGGTTGTTGTCTCAGGAGGATGATGCAAGGAGGACCAAGCTGAAGGCCATACCACTCCTGGCCATGCTGGCAATATCCCTTCTAGGGTGATAACAAGGCGACGTTACCTTTCTGTTGCTTCCTTGTCGTGTCCTTTGCTGCCTTGCACTCTGCTCTCTCTTGCAGGCTGTGTGAGACGTCCCTGCCACACACACAGAAGCATAAAGAGAGATGGACAGACTGACAACTGAGGCACACACTAACAAGAGACCGACCGACACGCAGCTCCTGTTGATGGAGCTGGAGCAAGCAATGCAGGCACCAGCCCTTCTGCCAGTCCCATGGGCCAGAGCAGAGCTCCCAACCCCACGCCACGCTCACAGCCATGGGAGCAGACACTGCAGCAGCTCATGGTACTGCTCAAGGCTGCACAGCAATGGTAATGGGATCTCAGCTGTCTTTGCCAGTTCAGACCAGCTTTGGCAGAGGGTGACTGTGGTGTGTGCAGGGAAGCAGAAACATCAGCCAGGAAGAAGTGGCCCTGGAAACCTCCCTTGGCCACACTGCAACACTGGGTGGACCAAGCTCTGTGACTCACAGCCCTTGTTGGGGCTGGTGCTCAAGAGCCTGGCCCAATCCACCCCCTGTGCCTCAGCGTTTCTCCTCTAGACTGGCAATGCCGACACGCACAGTGCTGTGGGGATGATATGAAGGCAGGACCCCTGCACACGATCACGTAACAGGCCAGGGCCAGCAGCAGTTCCACACACCCGGCTTTCCACCTTCATGCTTACATGGTTATCTCCCTTGTCTTCGACAGACGCTTTGATTTGACGCTGGTTTTGCAAGCACAGCCAGGAGAAGGAACAACTTTTTCTGGATGTGGAAAGACAAATAAGCGGGGAGTCTGATGGGCTGCCATCCAGGCAGGACTCACAGCTGTGGCCATCACCAGAAGGAGAGCTGGCAGGGCCCTGCCATGTCACCTGTCCCTGTTTTGTGTTTCCACAGCACTAACTCACTGCCTTACCCTGTTCCTGGGCAGCAAACTATGCAGCAATGGAAAACCTGTGCCCTCCCAGCATTCCCTGTCCTCTGCTATAGCATCTTCCCTATGGCTAATTAAAATCTCCTTTTCTTGCCACCTAAGCCTCTGATAGCCTATCCCACCCACAGAGGATGTGGAGGGTAGTTTATTCCCCTTCTTCTTTGCTCTTCCCTCCAGAGCAGCCTGGGACAGCAGTAGCTCTGAGACAAACTGCCACCCATGGAGGTGACACTTCACGAGTAAGCTGGTTTTCCTTTCTCTATCCCTTGAATGCGGTGCCTCATGGTAGCCAAAGGCTGACTAGCCACAGTGGGGGGGTTAACATCACAAAATCTCTTGCAGGTATTGTCCTCCACCAGCTAATCCAGAGCCTGGTTCAGCTGATGGATGCAATGATACACGATTGTGATCACGCCAGCCTGTCACCTCTGCAGCGCTGTGACCCATCACTGAGGTCCCATGGCACAAGTAAAACATGGCTAAAGACCCAGCTCAGTTCCTGCTGCCACCCCAGAAAATCTGTGAGACACTGGGTAAGGCGCTTTGGGCCATGCCAAGACTTCCAAGTCCCAAAGCAGATGCCCAAGGCTTGGCTTAGACAAAACCTTGACCAACCTGGTTTAGTGCTGGCAACAGCTGGCTTCGCATGGGAAGCTGGTTTGGAGGCCTCCAGAGGCTCCTTCCCAACGTTCACTTTTGAGATTTCTAGGCTTCCTCCAAGGAAAAAGACCTCAAATACCTACCCTTACCTTCCACATGTCCTAGGGTTTCCAGCTTCTCCTTGCTGCTAGGTTGGTCCTTGCTGGCTGTGGGGCCCTGGCTGGACTCGAGGTCCTGGCTGCCACTTTTGTGCCTCAAGATAAAGTCCACGTTATGTATGAACGGGGTAGGGCGTCTCTTCAGCAGCAAGGATGAGGCCTTATGGGAGGTTTCAGGCTTTGCAAGTAACAGCGAAATGGTAGCCTGGGAGGCCCCATCCACACCAGGACCCCTCAGTGCCTTCTGCAGCTTTGGGGTCAAGCAGGTCCCCACCATGGCCAGGTCAGAGCCCGGCTTATCCACAGCGACTGTGTCCTCTGTAACAAGAAAGCATTGGAAACCTCCTCTGCAGGCTGGCAGGCAGCACACAGAGACTTGGCAAAAAAAAAAGGGGTTATTAATATAATAATAATAATAGAGACTGGGTTGCCTTTCACCTACCCTTCCCATCTCAGGATCTAAAGGGCTGTAGCCACAATAATGCAGTGAAACTCCCTCCCCGCCCAGGCAGGGCGAGATGCTGAGGCCAAGAAAGATTAAAAATTCTCTTTCCATGGCCATTCATCACCCACCACCTCCCTCCGTGCTGCACCACGCTCCAGGCATGGGCCCTGTCTGTGATATGCTGAGTGGGGGCATTCATTTCGTGCCAAGACACCCAGAGTTCACACCATGCCCCCCGTGCCAATGAATGCAAAGTGAAAATTTAGGATTAAAGGGGAGAAATGGAGAGAACTGAACGCCTCCCTTGCTGGGTTCTGGCTGCAGGGGCCATGTGGGAGGAAAGGTGAGGAGGCAAATGTCGGTCCCCACGTCTGCTGAGTCTTGGGGCTTCCTGCAGCTCCATGCTGGATGAGGGGACCTCCTTGCTGCTCACGTTGGAGTCTGTGTCCTGGGTGCCAACCACATCCCCTGCAGAATGGGAGCAGATGGAGCTCAGTCCACGGGAAATACTTTAGAGGAAGGAGAGCCCAAAACACAGACAGGAGTTTGCAGGGAGACGCTTGGCTGCAGCTTTAAATGTTTCACCAAAAGGCAGATTACAAGACTGAGAACTCTCCTATCTGCAGAGGATTTGGTGATTTCTTTTAGAGAATGTCACCCCAAACTGCATCCCAAACCGGGGCGTTTTTGGCCAGACATAGGCTGGAGGTCCAAGCTTTCCCCAGAGCACAGCACCCTCATCCCAGGCCAACCCTGACTCCTGCCCTGCAGATCCCATAATGGGCAAATCCCAGAGCAACCCAGTCTGAGCTCTCAGCTGGCCCAGCTTCGAGGAAGAGGTGGGACTGGAGACCTCCTGATGTCCCTTCCAATCCGAATTGGTCTGGGATTTTTGTGCCCTGGGAAATCTCAACAATTTGTGTGGTTTGTTTTTTAATTAATTTTTTTTTTTTTTAAATTCCAGGTCTTTCTCCTCTTCCCTCCCCAATTCTTAAGCTTTTTGCCCAGCAGATGCTGCAGATCCCGAGCAACCCCAACCGCTGCTATACTCACCATCCACAGCCATGTCCTCCAGTGCCTCCTGGTGATTCTGCTCCAGTAAGTGGGCTTCCACTGGGGCTATGGGAGACTTCAGCTCTCCAACACCGACCTGCGTCCCTGCAATCAAGGGGGAGACGTGTTTAATTTCAGAAAGTTTCCTAGACACCTGGAAAATGCAGGTCTGGGTTGTGAATGGGGCAGAATACACCTTAGTCTCCTAGGAACTGCTTTACTTGGTTTTGGGTTTATTAACAGACATTGCTTTACAAAATGATGTCGTCTCCAAGAAGAGGGAGCACTTCAGAGCTACCAGGAATAAAAGTAGCATTAAAAAGCAGCCCAGCCTGAAGGCTGTTGCAGCAGCTATGGCTGTGGGGTGGGTTGCAGAGTCCCTGCTCTATGGAAAATGAGGGGAAATTTCCCTGGAGATCCCTGTCCGCAGTGGAAGACGAGCAGCATGGGAAGGTGGAAAGCGTCTGATGGAGCGCGTACAGACATCTCCATCTAGTGGTTCCCACCACCAACAGCCTCAATGCAGCCCAAGATGTGCAGGTTCGGCAGGGTTGGAGCTGTTACCACTCGCCAATGGCTTCTCCCAGGGAGCTGAGAGCAACCACCACCTCCACAGGTACCTCTGGCTGCTCACACTGCTTTACACTGCTTTACACTGCTGAGCACAGTGACACAGCCCTGATTTTGGTGGGGGTAAAGCCACTTCAGGTTTCCAGGAGCTGGTCCTCACGGTCATGGGGCTGATCCTGCAAGTAGCCATGCCCCTGGCATCAAGGTGAACTAAAAAGGCTCTTGTCTCATCCCACAGCTCTGTGGGAAATGCAGGTTTTCTACCCAAATCGCACACTCTGGTTTCTGGTGTGGTGGAGCCATGGAGACAGCACAGGGGATTTCAGAGAAGCATGATGGAGCAAACAGAGTTGAGCTGGATAGGGAGAAGCAGGGTTACCTTCCAGCTCCCTCATGGCCTCGTCCTGCTCTCCTCCCTCCTCGCTGTATGGACTCACGCACAGGCAGGACATGCTCTTCCTGCCAAGGGACACGTGTGAGATGATGTGGGGACCCAAATCACCCTGGGGTTGCAAAACCCCCTGCAATGTTGGCATCATCCTCCATCACCCTGCCCTTCCCATCTGGCAGCTTTTCTGCCTTGAGGACAAGCGGGGAACATGAGGAGGCTGAAACATGGGCAAACGTGGGCTCCCCCCATCCAAGGAGGCAACCCCTCACTCACTTGGGGGTCCTGCTGGATGGGCATTTCTTGCTGGACTTGGCACTCTTGTTGGATGCGGAGGTCCTGCTGGACTTGGAGGTCCTGCGGGATGGGGACATCTTCCTGGGGGCTGATGGGGCGTGGGACCAGGCAGACACCTCCTGACTTTCTGCTGAGCTACACGGCGATGGCTGCTGAGCCTCGGTGGCTGCAGGGCTGCAGGATTTCGGCAGCTCGCTGGGGTCCATCCGCTCCTCATCCCAGCCCTGTGGACACCCGGGGGTCTCACACCCAGCGGGGCCGTGGCTGAGGACACGGCTGGAAGGGTGCAACCAAGGACTCTGTCCGTGGTGGGGCAGGAGGTGGCTTCAGTGCCAGGGGCTGTCTACCAAGGGGGATAGCGCAGAGCTGCCCCTCGCTGCAGCACCCCACATCCCCCTGTCCTGCTCCAGTGACCCTGTGGCTGATTCACCCTCCCAGCACAGCCATGGTGCCCTCGGGTGCAACCAGACAGCACGGGGTGGCCCCCAAGCTCGCTGCTTGGTGCCACTGCTCCATTGCAGTTCTACCTGATGTCACAGAGCGCTGTGCATTCCCAGGCTCAGCTTCCCACCGGGCTGGGTGACCCAGAGTGGGTGGCTGGCTGCCCTAAACTAAACCCCAGGATGGCTGCCTTGAACCTGGGGTGGCTGCCCTGAACCCCGGGGCTGTGACCACCCTCCTGTGGCACCACAAGCCTGCAGCATTGTGGAGCAGATTACCTAACCATGCGCTGCTTCAATACAAGTGCAGAGGGATCAGCTGAAATCCCAGCCACCCTCAAACGCCCTCCCCAGCTCACCCTGTGCTTGGACACCCCCAGCCAGCTCGGGAGTCTCATCCTGCTCCTTCATGTTGCAGCCAGGCTCTGCCTCGGGCACCCTTTTGCTTCCCTCTCAGTTGAAATCATCCTCCTCCTCCCTCCAAACCCAGCTGAGCCCAATCCCACCTCACCCCAGAGCCTCCTTGGGTGCTGCTATCACCCACTCTGAGCTCCTGCCAAGTGCAGCTGGGGTCATTGAGTGCTGCCCCAGGGTCCTGGACCCTCTGCATGGCCCAGGGCGTGCGTGGAGGTGTCGGAGAGACAGGGAAACGCTTTTTCTGGCACCTTCTGTGGTCCCAAAACGCTGCTTTGACAGGCGGCCGCTGGGTGTCCCTGCAGCCCTGCGCGATGCGGTGCTGAGCGGGTGCGTGGGATGGGTGCTCCAGGATGGGGCACAGGCAGGACCCTGCTCCCAGGTTTAGCACCTTCACCCCCAGCCCAGACCCCAGCCACCCCTGGGGTCGGGTTCCTGCAGCGGTCCCAGCCCTGCTCCCTTCCTCTGGGGGCTTCTCCAGCAAACTGAGGGCTTGCAGGGAGCTGTGGGGCAGATGGGGGCTGCTAAGGTCCACCCCTTTTTGAAGTGAGGTGGCTGCCAGGAGACTGTAGTCTGCAACAGGCACTGGGAACCCTGTGTTCCCAAATGTGTGACCCACCCCCAGGAGGGCACCAGTAACAGAACAGAGAGACCCATGGGGGCCCACAGCCCTGCTTGCACTAGGCTCTGGCCCACCCTGTGTTCCCAAATGTGTGACCCACCTCCAGGAGGGCACCAGTAACAGAACAGAGACACCCATGGGGGCCCACAGCCCTGCTTGCACTGGCTCCCCAATCCCAGCCCAACCCCTCGGGTACTGCTAGGGTGCCAGGGGCTGCCCATGGGGCAGAAAGCCTGGGCACAGAGCATTGGTGTGGACATCAACACCGTTGATAGTTTGAGGTTTCTTTATTTATTTTCATTTTTGTGGTGTGAATCGCTGCTGCTCTGGTCCTGCCCCTCCAACCCCCAGCTCCAGGGCTCAGCCCCAGCTCCCACGACTGCTGCCTGCCGCCAGGGCCCAGGGGGGACACAGCCACTCCCAGCTCAGCCCAGACGCTGCAGGGGGCCTGGGGGCCAGCCCCACACCAGGCACAAGGTCGCTGTTGCTTTTTGGTGCAATCAAGGGGAACAGAGGGAAGGGGCTCTGGCTGGGGTATGGACCAGGCAGCAGTGCTGTTACAGCCCAACTCTGCTACTGGGACATATTTTTGTTTTCCCACAGGGGACAAACCACAGGCGATGCACAGCCCCGACAGCAGGATGTGGCCTGGACCCTGCCTGCTCTTCTGGAAGCCTGAGCTGCACAGAAAACCAAGCGTGGTGCAGTTACCCAGCCCGAAAAGCACAGCAAAGGGAGAGTGGGGGCTAGGTTGAGGGGATAACAGGCAGCACAACTCTCCCAGGCTGCTGCCTGCACATCCACGCACTTCGTGGTATGGAAACAGTGGAGGGGGACACGGGGAGCTCAGCACCATCCTGGGGGTGAACCAGGCTGCAGCTGGGACCAGCACAGCTGATGCTACATAGAGCTAGTGGTGGTGCAAACTGAGTGCGTGCAGAGGGAATTAAGAAAGGCACTGTGATGTTGGAGCACTGCTTTTCGCTGTCCCTGGCCACGGCAGTGCCAGAAACGTGTGGCTGCAAGGAGGACGGGGCTGCTGGGTTCCTTGAGTGGTGTCTTCAACCCACAAAGCTACACCATGGCTCCTACCTGCCCTGTCCCCCATGGAGACGGCTCCGGTACCCAGGGGGACCGCATGTGTCCAGTGCACAAGGGGACTCTTGAAGTGGGCAGAGCTTCACCAGCATGGGCCATGGAGGAGAGCACAGCTCAGCCTTCAGTTTGAGCAGCTACTCCCCAAATCCACATGGCCCGATGAGCACCTAACAGTTCACAGATACGCCAGGCAGAGAAAAGTCCCATTTCTCTGCGTTCAGTGTATGGAGGGGCCGCCGGCTCCCGCGAGGCGACCCGCCGAGGTAAGGACGAGAGGTTTGCTGTGGAAAGCACATCCCTGCAGTTACAGTGAGGTGACGGACAACAGGGCTTCAGAGGCAGTCGAGGGGTTGTTAAATTACACGCAGACACGCTCACACACGCAGACACACGCAAGCTCTTCTGTAAACCGGACTCCAGAAGATCCCACAGATCCTCGGCTGATGCCAGGGCCAACGCTGGATGTGGCACCCTCACATGTTCCCACGGTACGTGATGTTGGTGAAGGTAGACGTAGCCTCTTTGTATAAAGGGTTGTTGCCCTGAAAGGAGGAGGAGGAAAAAGAGCATCATCTCTTTGTGCTTGGCATCAGCATTCATTCTATGGCTGGGGAAACTGAGGCACCACTTCAGCATTGAGTGGTGGATCCATATCTTTGCTCAAGGCTTTGGCTGTGCGGTTTAAAAGCTCCCTGTGAGGTTTCATAGAGGAGAGCTAGGAAAAGCTGCTGTGGTGGAGAGGAAAGGCAGCAGGAGCTCAGGAGCAAAGAGGCCTCCTGGAAGAGCCACCACATCCCACCTCATCCCTTCCCTTCCCTCTGGGGAGGTGGGGGATGGGCATCGGTGCTGTCCCAACCCCCTCCCTCGTGCCCCAGGTGCCTCAACCCTTCCAGCGTCCCGTGGCAGCAGGGACCTTCCATCTACCTCACGGGATGGAAACACTGGTGTGGGCAGTGAGTAAGAGCGTCACGCTGGTGACAAGTGCTTGGGATGCACCAGAGGTGGAAATGTCATCTGGGACATCTGCTGTGCCCTTCCAGCGTCTCGTGGCAGCAGGGACCTTCCATCTCCCTCACGGGATGGAAACATTGGTGTGGGCAGTGAGTAAGAGCGCCACGCTGGTGACAAGTGCTTGGGATCCACCGGAGGTGGAAATGTCATCTGGGACATCTGCTGTCGCCTGAGCACAGCCCCGGAGACCACAGCAGGCTTGGGGATGGAGTGTCTGGGCTGGGAGGGGGACCCCGAGGCCCGCCTCTGGCACCTTGAGTCCTGCCTGTAACGCTGTGCCATGCTTCAGAGAGGGATGGGGCAAGCTGGTCCCTAAGGACCTTGTCCTGGGACCACAGACAGCAACTGGGCTCTTGTGCTGGGAGCACTGGGATCTGGATCCACTCAACCCAGGGGCTGCGCGACTCAGAGGCTCCTGCCCCACACACCTGACCCACTGGCTCTCACCGTGTCCCACTTGGCCCTCGCCTTCTCCTCCTCGAAGCGGGCAAACTCTCGACGGTCATGGATAGTGATGAGGAGCTTCCAGATGAGCAGGGCAGCGAGGCCGATGAGCAGGATGGCGCCCGTCACTGAGAGCAGGACCACCAGAACATCCGGCCCCTTTGGGCAGTCTGAGAGAGGGAGGAGGGCAGGGTTAGGGGGGCTCAGCACCCCAGGGCAATTAGAAACAGCTCTGGGGCTGCCTGGCCGTGGAACATGGAACTCCTCTGGTCTCAGGAGGGCTTCAGCCTCCCCTGTTGCGGTGCAGGAGCCTCCACCCTTGAGCACAGCAGGCTCTAAAAAGGAGGATCCCATCCATGGGGCGCCCATGTTGAGTTCCTCAAGCTCCTGTCTATAGGGGGTCTGTACCCAAGTCTGGAGCAGTCCAGGGTCAGGAGTATCACAGGTCCCACTGTGCAGCCCCCCCAGCCCTCGTCTGCCTCTTCCCTCTGGCTACTTTAACCCCTCTCAGCCCTTGTGAGCCTGGCTGGGGTGGGAGGTACAAAGGAGACTCTAAATCCCCCCATTCAGCACAGAGACCCAGCACCCACCCTGACCATAGCAGCTGGGTCTTACCTGGCTCCTCGATAACGTAGAGGATGGACTTGCCGCTGGAGTCCTCATAGTACTGGAACCGCACCACGCAGTCGTCCTCGTCCTTGTAGGTGCAGTTGACAGCGTCCTTGCCCATGTCACCTG